AAGCGCCTATGACTCATCCATTGCTCAACATCACCGCGTCTAAGTTGCATTTCTAGCCTCCTATAAAAGCATGGTACAACACCAAACACATTGGCACTTGACCATCAAAGTTTGCTCAAAACTTGAAGTATTAGATAGGTTCTACCTCCGTCCAAGACCTTGAAGAAAGTTCTGTATGTTTCCAATGAGAAGCGCAAAAAGAAAAAGTCCCAATCCTATGATGGCTATAGTAAAAAGGGTTTCAAACACAAAGTCGCTTGGTGTTTGGTTACCAGCCAGAGTACTGATTTGCTGCATAAAGATCAAAATGAGTATAATTTCTAGACATATTAAACCGTTGATATGCATTCACAAGTTTGAACAGTGTTGGTACTATTTGGACCTTGACAGATGACTTGATATTGAGCTAGTAAACCATTTTTATACATTTAAGATTTCTACATTGAGTTATTGAGTTGGTGTAGGAATATCAAATTTTTCATCAGTATCATTTGATCCAGTTCATATATTGTGTACAAAATTACTGCTAAGAGAACAAAACAACTAAGAACGAAGTGAATACCAGAGCTGAATAAAAAAAGGTGCATACCTGTAATCCCCAAAATAGAGCATATATGTATTTGGTGACGATGTCTGCTTGTGTAGTAAGAGGTACAGCATTGTTATAAATCCCATAAGAAAAAGAACCGCTGGAAGAGGAATTCCAACATGCAATAGCATCTGCATTGTTGTTCCACTGGTTTGATGATAAGCCAAGCCGATTGTCCCCAACATGGCTATGTCCACAATCAATGAATGCCAGGCATCCAGGGATATGAGAACTTTGGCACGCATTTCGAAAACATTGATTAACCCTCTGAAAGAAGGGAGAGAGAGAAAGAAGAACCTTAGCAAGTTAAATGTTAACCTCAATTTACTGAATTAAAATCCCTGATTCTGATTGAATCACTCATCTTCTAAGTATACAAAGGAAACATAACTACATTAGTAATTGAATTTTATTGCCAAGACTAAAATATCTACAAGGAAAAACTTTACTAGGACATACTAATATCATATTGACAAAGCAGTTCATTCTGCCTAGAAATCTCAATATATATTATGCTAAACATATGGAGTTTCTTACGCTTTCTCTTTATGTTCTTAACAGGATTTGACGCCAGGAAAACAATTAGTATCCGATATTAGTGAATAAAATACAGGTTCTTGCCTCATGCTGAATGAAGGTGAGAACTTACTGTGCAAAAGGAAGTTTTAGTGAGGAAGAAAATTGGTACTTTTGAAATAAGCATCAAATGCCATGTTTACTCACCTGTAGAGCAAATAGGTACCAGATAGAGCCAACAACATGGCTAGCTAGAATGAAAATGAGAAGATTTATAATGAAATTTGCCCATGCTGACTCAAATATGAATCCTGCTGGAGACTGACCAAACAGCATAGGCAGAAATCTGAATAATCTGGGAATATACTGCACTAGGATAGCTGCACGCAGAACATTCTTAGCATAATTTGCTCCCCTCAATGATTTTGGTAGTACAGACAATAACATGATCTGGATAGTTTTTAAGAGAGATGAAAGTTATTCAAGTGCGTGCACGTTATATCTATTTGTTTTTAACAATTAACAGTAGTTGCTGTTGTCAATGAACTCGAGAACAAATATAAAAAAAGCATTCATGTTTAAATTTTTAGGCTTGCATATTTCATGATCAGGAACTGGCAGATAAATACATCTAGATACTTAATAGTAAGTTCCAAGGAGCAAACTCAGTGGAAAGAAAGAAATGTCCCCAAGGAAGAATGTAAATCGGAAGAAATTACCTGAGGAAGAGGAAATACAACAAACAAGTCAACAAGAAAATAACCCTTAAGGTAATGAAATGCAATTTGTTTTGGATGATCAACTAAATCTCCAGCACCAACCACCCTTGACTCAGGAGAAACAAAAGCCAACCTAAACTGTGACAAGGGAAATTGGTAGAGTTATTTAGCCTGAAATTTTGGAAAGGAAGAAAACTAAATAACTATTGTGATACTTGGTAAAACACTGAGAAAGTCCTAATATAATAGTTCTATTCCAGTCCATTCTTTATAAGTTGGTTGAAATGAATAAATAAATAAATACTGTACTTTGTGTATTGGAAGAACAATCCTCAGCAATTTATAGATTAATAACTGTTTCAAATAAAGGATGGCTGTAATGGAAGTGATGGGTAACAAAACAAGTTTTCAGACATACTTGCAGAAAGGAAAAATTCCATTGAATATGACAGTTATCCTTTGAGTTGGATTTTGTTATTAGCCTAAATCCTTTTAGAATAGCGTTAGAAAACTCTTCTGACTCATTTATCAGAATATTCATTCATGCAAAGCCAATAACATTGACTAAACAAAAATGTTTTGCAAACTAAGAACTGTTACTCTATGAATATATATGGATGTGAAAAAGGTTAGAGAAGGAGGAATAGGAGGGCGAACTTATAAAAGATGCTTATTGGGAATTTACCTGGAGAAGAATGTGAAGGAAATATATGAAGTCATTCATGGTTCTAACTATAACAAGTGCTTTTGTCAATTTCCAGTTGATAACTATACAATTATGATCCTGCACCGGAGAAATGCAAATTTAGTTTTCACAGTTGCATATCATTAGAACTTGTAAAATTTGTGTAACTAAATAAAAGGAAAATAATATTATAACTCATACCTGCCGAACATAGAGTAAGAAGAAAAATAATGGATCCACAAAAATTGCAACCAAGCAAAAACTGGCAAGAACCTTGTTCCATTGTTGTATGAATTTAGAGTGAGGATTCATAACTCCAGGAACAAAAGATGAACACAGAGAACAAAATTTTCTTGCAAATACTTTGGCATCCCCATTAAGAGCATTCTGAAACTGTAAACATTGAAAACTGAAGCACAGATGGCAATATGAAAGTGATAGCAAATGATATATGTCTACAAAGGAAAATGGAAAAGTTTACAATAAGATAAAGTGTAATAATAAAGAAAAGCCTGTAGGAGCCTTTGGAAAATGAGAATTAGATAAAACGCAAGACATCACGAAATTGATAATTGACAATACTTTTATAGACTCTCAAATTGAACAATGACAACAACAGTAAAATTTTAACAGTGAAGTGAATGAAAAGCTCTAAAGAACTTAAGAATTTTGTTGAGAGTATAATACTAATGAAGCTGTGGAGTGTAAAGAGTGGTTTCTTTGTAATGAACACAAAGACCACATCTAGAAGAAATTATTCTACTACATATCATGTAATCAAAGGCAATTGAAACAATAATTTATTATAGGAAGAAAGACAGACACCTTCGGATCAGGTATATTACAAGCTTTTGGATTTCTTAGCCGAGAAGACTTGAAGTAAGAAGGACAAGTAGTACAATAAGGATCATTACAAATTCCCAGTTTCCCAGATCTCAGTAAATGTTCATTTATGCTATCATAGCTTTTATGCCAGTACTTTGAAGCCGTGCTGTCAACAGTAGAAAATTCATCTGTGCTCTCCTGTGCTATGTTTCCTGTTACAACTATACTATGCTGCATAAGATTATCACTTTCTGATGTAGCATATAATGAACCGCTATCTCCCACGAGACTAGTTTCTACCTCATATGACTCCATGGGAATAGAAACTGATGCACTTTGTTTCCCGGATAAAAGCCTTTGAAATTTAGAATGCAAAGTTTCATGATATGGTTGTGCATCAGTTTCTTCTGGTATCTTCTGCAGCTCATCATTTTCAAAACTAGCCATGCTTCCTTGACAATTCTGTTATCTTTTTACATTCAGTATATATATTATGAACAATAACAATTTTAGAATCTAATAATTCAATTCAGCTAGAAACTTGAAAGAGGAGAATACAAATTATAAGTCTGTAACTACTTTAGTTTCAGAAAGCCAAAAACTGTACAACTGTTACAAAGACTGATAAATTTTAATGCAACATAAGGGAACTAAGTTTCTTGAGCCTTTCTCAAAATTTACTGCTAACATTTTTCCTGATAATGAACTCGCCTATTCAAAACTATAGAACACAAATTTATGAACAAGGTGGTGTTTAAACTGAATATAACCAAGCAAAACCAGTTTGAAGTTTTCTAAGTGAAAAGTCAACACCTTGATCCCGTCAAGTTTACATTACATCATGCATTTTTCAAAGTAAACAAGACACCTTAGGGGATGCTAATATACCATAAAATTTAAGATCTCAGAAATAAAAACGTTGAGTCAAATGAATAAAAAACTGATCTTTGAGATTTTGAAAACTTGAAGTTTGAATAAAAGATTATTATAACATGAATTTTGTATAACTGTGGGGAAAAAATTATTAAAAAGTCTTACAAAGGATGTGATATAAAGTAAGATAGCAACCCTTGCATTGCAGATGAGAGTTGAAGAGTTTGAAAATGTCAGTTATGACATAAGATTGTGAATAGATTATGTGTTCAAACTTGCAGCATTAATTAGTGTGAATTGTTTTGAATATAAAACTATGAAAGCTTTTAGTTTACTTTATCATTTTTTTATTTGTCTAACTTTGTTTGTTCTCTCTAAAGTTTTGATGGAAGTAAAGTAGAAGGTAACATTGTCTACTTTGGAGCAAAGGGTAGTGTGTCACTCACAGCTTCACTTATCCTTTTTAACTTTATTAATTATCTTAATTTTTAAAGAAATATTACTTATTTTTTTAAATTTATTCTCAAGTAAATTATACTAGTGTTTTATTTACAGAACTTAAAAATAATGCGTTTATTAAAGAAGTAAATTCATTTTAATGTATAACTCATTTTAAATTGTTCTTAATTTGTGTCAAAAATATAAAAATGCTCAACATTAATAACACTATTATTATAATTATTGTTAAATTTAAATATATTTCTAATCCCTATAAAGATAGTGTCGCTTTTATTCTCGGTAAAACTGTTTATATATATATATTGCTTTTAATATTATGTTTCATTTAAAAAAATATATATTTTATCCAAAATTATAATTTATGTTCTATATTTAGTTTTATATTATAGTATTAAATTATTATAAAATATTTTTTTCCTATATCTTAATCATTTATTTCTAAATAAAAAATAATAAATATATTTGATCATTTTAGTATTAGGGGTTAGATATGTTTTTAGTCTCTAATCTATTAAGCGAATTTGTTTTTAGTGTCTCTAGTAAGGTACATTTTAGTCCTCCTCTTTCAGGAAACCTTAATTTTTCGTCCTCTAAAACTAACGACTTTAAAAAGAAATTGAGCTGGCTAACGGTGAAGTGTCACGTCATTTTTTTTTTCCGACACTGGGTCAATCTGTCCCTCACCGTTTGGTTACCATCACCATTCAATCGTCATAACCCTTCGGTCATTACCAATACCGTTTACATGATAGTTTAGAGACTAAAAACATATTTAACTTTAGTATTAATATATTAATATTATATGTAATATAAAACATTATGATTTTTTTTTTCTAATTTTGTATGAACTAATTAATAATTGAAGTAATTAAACATTTTTTTGATTTTTAAGAATTACTACATATATTTATAAAATAAAAAATAATGTTAATATGAAACTAAGTTTGAAGAAAGTATTGTGCCATTTGCTTTTGGTTTTATATAAATACATTTAAGAATTTTTCAATATTAAATATATGTTGAATTATTGAAATTCAGGTAAAACTGATATAATTATTTTTTTTATGTAGATTTTATCTTTTTATAATGAGTCGACTATTTACTCTAGAATAATTAATTTTAATATTTATTAAAACCTTCAAATACTATTTGGTTTTATTTTATTTGAATTGATTAATATTTTAATTATTTTAAACATTAAATAACTATAAACAAGCTATGATGCCCGATATTATATATGTATTGAATATGACACATACGATACGTCGGTAAGTTTATTTTTAAAATAATAAGATGTTATATGTGTATTTAAGTACTGATGTTTGATATTATTTAATTTTAAATAAACATGTAAACAAGAAAGAGTTCGGAATACATTATAATATTGGTTTGAACATATTGATCAAAATTTATTAAAAACAAAAAATGTGAGTCTTGAATCCAATTTAATAATAGTTTTTGCTTCTTCCACCCATCATTATTATCATTCTCCCTCGTGAACTCTTGCGCACTTGTACTTTTTTTTTCTTCTGATGCGTGTTGCTTGTTCAACAAACTTTCTCTCCACTATAGCATCATCCTCGTTTGCACATAACACATTTCTATTCTCAAAATAGAATGTTTTGAGTGTATACACAATAAACTTGGAGGTGAAATTAATTTACAATTTGGTTGCTTTGATAAAAAATGACGCCCCTGTATGAGGTAACAACCTAGTGAAACTACTATATTGGATTGGAGATCATAAAAACTGTATGAAAAGTGGAACCCAAAACCTCAATGTTCAATCTGATGGTGTGGAATTAACACGACTTAGCCGTTTCTTCCTGTATCTCCATGCAACTTGAATGCGGGTCGCAGCAAGGGATCTCCAATAAGGTGACTCATACCTAGTGTAACACANGTAAGTTTATTTTTAAAATAATAAGATGTTATATGTGTATTTAAGTACTGATGTTTGATATTATTTAATTTTAAATAAACATGTAAACAAGAAAGAGTTCGGAATACATTATAATATTGGTTTGAACATATTGATCAAAATTTATTAAAAACAAAAAATGTGAGTCTTGAATCCAATTTAATAATAGTTTTTGCTTCTTCCACCCATCATTATTATCATTCTCCCTCGTGAACTCTTGCGCACTTGTACTTTTTTTTTCTTCTGATGCGTGTTGCTTGTTCAACAAACTTTCTCTCCACTATAGCATCATCCTCGTTTGCACATAACACATTTCTATTCTCAAAATAGAATGTTTTGAGTGTATACACAATAAACTTGGAGGTGAAATTAATTTACAATTTGGTTGCTTTGATAAAAAATGACGCCCCTGTATGAGGTAACAACCTAGTGAAACTACTATATTGGATTGGAGATCATAAAAACTGTATGAAAAGTGGAACCCAAAACCTCAATGTTCAATCTGATGGTGTGGAATTAACACGACTTAGCCGTTTCTTCCTGTATCTCCATGCAACTTGAATGCGGGTCGCAGCAAGGGATCTCCAATAAGGTGACTCATACCTAGTGTAACACAATTATCAAATCATTAAGAAAACCCTGGATTTGAAAACAGATATTTGCATTCATTTATAATCATTAAGCCTAATTCAATCTCACAAAACCAGCTTGTAAAGTGAGGTTTGTATTCATTTATATATTCTAAATTGGTTTTACCTCTAATCGATGTAGGACTTCCGACGTAAAATGTTAAAAAGATTAAGTTGAACCATACATCTATATAGATACAAGAAGACAAGGGATTGATTCACCTTAGGGCTACTTGGACGCATGGGCTCCGCAAGAATCTTGTGAAAAGGATTGTGACTTCTTCAAGGTCGGAAGCAGAGAGTGCAAATGACTCCACATTTGTTAAGCACCTTACTGTCCTGTTGCTGACCAATCTCTGTCCTGGAAGCCTTACTTTTCTACCATCTGCAAGAGAGATCAAATCGTTGAACCATTCAGTTTCTTATTTAGTACAGGTCTAGGTTGTTGATCATTGCAAATTCTTCTGGTCTACTCTAAAATATTAACAGGCATTATGACATATAGCTTACTGATATACCTGTGCTGACTGAAGAATGTTCAAGATACCATGTCAGAAGTTCCTCACCACATGCATCCCCTTCAGATAGAGGAATTCTGGTTCCATCTTCTCCAATGCTCTCCAATTTACCACGCACCACGAATACCATCTTTTCTACTAGACAACCATGACTTAGAATTTTACTTCCTTTAATGTGTGTCTTTTGTCTTAGTCTCTCACAAATGGCATCTAATATAGGCTCATCCATCAGAGCAAAAATCCGAATCTGCAGATAGTTCAGGTCCAGCCAGATCCTCAGATTATGGATCCAAATTGGTACAAAATCTAAAAGAAAATAAAACCATCATTATAATGAACTTAGGGTTGGTTGACATGCTTTGGCTTTTGCTACTCATGGATTGAATTTCCTGATTAAGATACATAAAACTTTTCCTTTAAACTGGCTTTCAGTTTAAACTTTCATCCAAAACTAGCAGCTTACAAGTAGAGAGACATAAAGGAAACTAAAATTTAAATAAATCAGTGACTGACATTATGAAGTTT